CGTAATTTCTGCTTAAAATTAATGCAATTTATAAAAAATCATTTTTTGCAACGACACACAATCAATATTTTCCACACATAAGACAATGTATGATGAAAAGGATGACGCAGGTCTAATTTTTGTTGAACTCTTAGTAATTTTCGAATATTGCAAATTTATAAATAATGCGGGAAAGTGTGTGCTGTTGTACACACACGCCCTAGTTAATTACTAATTTTTTTTGGAAAGATGGAAAGATATGAAGAAGAAGAAGAAGAAGAAGAAGAAGAAAAGCAATATTGTAGCTCCATAAGGAGTGACGAATCCGTCATGTGGGAGAATGTCTACCGTTAGATGCACGTATAGAGTACAGCATGGACCCTACGTGGTTTTCACTCCTCACATTACCTTTTTCCGCCAGGGAGCCTAAATCCCAGGCGGGGCACCTGAGCTTATCCGCACCCTCGCCGACGGGTCGTAGTGTGCCCTCACGGCAACTTCCCATACAAGGTCTGGGTCGGGCCAACCGCAGCCAGTCCCTCCTCTTTACCCAGAGAGTTGGGCCACTGCCAAAACGAAGCCGGTGGCCACCCGAAGCAAGGCCCGGCAGCTCGGCGCCGGCCCCCCATTCCCGCTCTTCGGAGAGTTTGATTTCGTCGGTAGCTTCAATTGAATTCATTTAATAGCGTGTTTTCAGTGACGAAGTCAGGCCACCAGGCCACTAGGCCTGCTCTTCCATCTGACCACGCAAATTCTCCGCCACGCTCCTTTCAATGTATAGCAGAGAAATGAGGTATCACTTGGGCGACGAAACTCGACATTTTAATTTTGCTCTTTTGATTAGACGTGAGGACATTTTATATGTCGCAAATCTACAACATGCGACAGACGTCTTTACTTTCCCTCCGAAAGAAGGAGTACGCACGATTTGTCCGCTCTACAGCTTCAGTCTAGTTTGAACTCGCGAACGTGATGATAACAGTGCGACGCTAACCGTCACACCGCCGAAGCGGAGAATATCTTCATTCAAACTACCTTTCTACAAAACAATTCATGCGCTTATCATAGCATCTCTTGCAAGAATTTACGGCATGGAGTGCAAGGGAGCTTCGTTATTTTGTATTGGTGGTGTACCCAAGCCTAATCTTTCTTTCTTTTAGGGCAAACTTGAAATTATTTTCTCTGTAAAAAATAAAACTTCGAGATCTAATCAGATGGGTATAGTGAATGTAAATAAAATTCTGAACTTCTAGCAGTTCACAAAACAAGAAAGAAGTGAAAGATGTGAACATAATTACGTAGGAACATTATTCCACCGAGAACAAACATCGGAATAATTTTGTGAAGACTTGGCTGGGCCGCGAGACCAAAACCTGATATTATATTTTTCTATACATTACAAAGATTAATTAACCACCTTCAAGTAACAAAAATGGCAAATCAATTTAAAATCTCTGCTGTAAACACTAAAAACTCTCTGAGCTATTGACTCCATCAACACACTGGCACACTCATAGTTGAGGGGCAAATACATCTACAACATGACTTGCAATAATTCCTTAGGAGCGCCTCGCGCCACGCCGGAATTCCAGTTCTCCTCAGCGGCGGGCAGTCAGTTCGGGGGTGCGTTCCCGCACGCGGCCTCGCCAGGGCCATCGCCTCGCCGCAAAGTCAGCCTCCCTTCGCCCCGTTCCACGCGAAGCCCCGCGGCAAGCGCCAGGCCCGCCAGCGAGCCTCCACTTCACCCCGACGAGGCAGCAACGAACTGGTTCACTTGCCGGAGCCGGTGCGATATTCAATTTTTTTTAAAGTGGGACGCTGGAAATACATATTAACTCACCCATAGTCGATTTTAACACCATGGAACCCAAACGGTGGGAGTTACTAGCTCTCACACGAAGCGCCCAGCTCGGCGAGAAATTAATTGTCCACAATCTGCTCCGGCACAAATGTGTTAACAGGGACGAATCACTAACTTTCGTCAAGATCTCTGTTTCGTCCTACAATGTTAAAAGTACTAATAAAGTCAGCAATATGTTAACTAACATAATATGTAATCCAGAAAAATAAGCATTTTATGCACGAAGTGATGCATTTTAATTATGTAGTATTTTAAGCAAAATATAATTTTCATTAAATTAAATACATTCCACTCAAAGGTTTAACTTAAACTCATATTTGTAAAACTAAAATAATCAATAGCATTTTAGAAGAAAATCAAACTCCAGAATAGGCAGGGTTTCGTACAGGTTACTCCACAATAAACCATATCCACACATTATTACAGCTTATAGAAAAGGTTCAAGAATACAATATGTATATGTATCTTCTCTTCAAAGTCTTCAAAAAAGGCTTCAATTTAATGGAACATAAATCAATTCTGGAAGCATTATACGTACAAGGAGTAGCAACGAAGTACACAAGAGCTTTATTAACATTTCTTAAAACTGCATAACTATTGAAATTTGACACTTTTTTGTTTGAGAATAGATCACCAAAATAGTTTTTTAAAGGCCCTTACCACCTCAAATTCAGATACTTGCTCATAAATATTGTTATCGAAATGTCTGTCATTTTGTAATGTTCATACGGGGAATACGGACAATAGAAAAGGCCCGGGGGGAGATGGCAGCGATGCAGAATTCCCAAAATATGGAGGAGAAGAACTGAAGAATACACTTCTTGAGCTATTTAATAACTGTTGGAGCAAATGCGAAACCTGATGCATGGAAGAAAGCAAAACTCATCTCTCTTTTTAAGAAATAAAATAGATGCCAGACTCAGAAGCCTGTTGGTCAACGCTTATAAAGTTTACATAAAAATAAATAAACGGCTCACAATAATCTCAAATTCACTGCTATTGGAAGAACGAATTGGCTTCAGGTAAGGAAGTTCATGTACAGACATTATGCTTACCAAATACCAAATAATTGAAAAGAAGAAGTGAGAGTCCAATTTGGAGACCCACATATCATTTATAGATTATGAGAAAGTATTTGATATATTTAATCGCGAACTTCTCTGACAGATTCTTCGAAAAAGGGGCTATCGTTTCCCCGTGATAGAATCTCCTTATCACAAAACAAAATTTAGTAATCTACAAGTTGGGAGCAAAATGCTAGAAGAGTTAGGCAAATATGGAGGAGAAGAAGGCTTGTCCCGCACTTTGTTTAATTTTTATATTGACAACATTCTAAGAGAATGGAAAATTTTAAGTACACCAAGTATTTGGATAAATCCAATTACACCGCTACAACTACTCCTGTAAGCGAATGACCATATAATTATAGAGGAGAACAAAATAAGTCTGCAAAAGTCCTTGTACCAACTAAATAGAATATGCAAACCATATTGTCTGTCAATATTTGTCTCTAGAACAAAAGTGATGGCATTCAGAGGCTAATGTCCTATCAGAACTCAAATAATAATTTTCGAAAATACAGTAAGTTCGCGAGAAATGATATTAGCGCAAATTTTTTATCGTCTTCTGATGGATACGAGGAGAAAATATTTAAAACATTGGTACTATTTTTGGTGAATACAATTGTTTCAAAAAATGCAAACTTACGGGAAAGAATGCCCAAACTTACTCATATTTGTACATGACATTATTTCAAGGTTCGTCTTTAAAGAACAGATTTCATTCATAAATATCTCTGTCTTCCTTGTAGTTGTAGAAAGACAACGAAAAGAAATCAAATTTTTCCTTTTTTCGAAAAATTAGGGATTTCAACGAGAATGAGACCTGCGCCATTCTCTTAAGCGTATTTTAGGCTATCCAAGGTCAAAGTTAAATCTCAAAATTTGGAGACGTTTTTGACCAAAAAAATGGAAATTTTTGTTGAGGCTTCAGGTAAAGAACCACCAAAATGAAACGTTTCAACTTCAGGGGACGTCGTGTTCCTTTAAATTAATTAAGGCAGATCAACTTTGGAAAAAATCCGCTGAACGATTTTGGCGCTAACTTTGACCACAAACCGGTGGACAAATGTTTCAACGTCAATCGATTTTTCGGGATTAAGGATCCACAAAACAAGGGTCCCAACTATATAAGTTAGAGTAAGTAATTTACTACAAATATTAGTTAGATTTATCCAAGGCTCGACAAAAAAAATGTCTCTACCGAAAATTCGCAGTTTTCTGGTGCACGATTACGATTACAAGTAGGTGTTTCAAAATAGTATTACTTACTATAAAGCATTACTTCATGTTACAAATGAAAAAAAGAAAAGATGATCCTAAAAAGTACCCTAATTGTTAGTAGAAGTTTCCGGGCCGAGAGGCTGCGGTGCAAGTGCCGTCGAAAGGCCAATTGGGCCACGGCCTATCAGCCCGGAAACTTCTATTACAATTGGCTCCGGCCGTGCAAGTCTTGAAAGCTGTAGCAACTAATTAGCTTTTGCCTTTAAGAAGAATGTCTGCAGAGTAGATTTAACATTTTACGGCGCTATCCATTTCTAATAATATTGATCGTTTTCATCGAAATGTAAGACATTATGTCTCCCAATTCCTTGATGGGGAAACTTCTGTAACACTTCATCTGCACGGCTACGAACTTTTTTCGGAGAAAGAAAAGGCAGAACGTTCCTTTGTAAATATTTCGTCCTCCGACAAGGTTATCCTCTCGAATGTGAATACCCCGCGCTCGTGGCAGCGACACAACCAATAACAGCAGTTGTAATTGAGCAGCCAATCAGCGAGCGTTAAGAATGATTTTAGTGTTCGCCCCGTGGCAGCGGACAATCGTTCAGCCTCCTCATCAACTCCCAGACACTCTAAAATAATTTCAAATATGAACATATGGGACAGTGTTGGGTTGAATAAAATACCTCGCAGTACTCGTAGACAGTGGGGAACAACGGGGCCTGACCTTCCCAGGGTGATTCTCGTAACCGCCACGGGTTTCCTGTGCCTTATTCTTAATGGGACGTTGGCGATCAATTGTAGGTATCTGTATGTTCGTGGGGATTATTAAATGAATGATTTAATTATTTTATGAAATACGTGGTGGTTTTCTTTACCTTTCTCTCCATAGTCGAAGGCACAAACATCCATGGGTTTCGAACCCACAACCACCCGGAAGGGCGCGCGCCGCTTTCTTGCTGGTCCAGGCGACCGGTTTCGACTGCCGTGCTGCAATTACACCATCGAATTTTGCCTTGCTCCGAGCATCAAGGGAGAGTTTTTCCTCCGATTTACTTATAGTGACTTTGATGATCGATTAGTGGGGACGCGGGTATCCAATCGGGAGCTTCAATACCAAAAAAAAATAATTCGCAGTGAAGCTCCCGATGGGATAACCGCATCAAAGCTCACGAAAAGTTAAAACCCATTATATTTATATTGAAGTGATCGTGCCTTTGCGATTAAGTCCTGGACAGGCAGTCCGATTCGCCTCCAAATCGTCGATTCATCGCAAGCACCAATTAGAAGCCCCACCCCAGCCCGAGTGTGGGAAAAATGAGATGCAACTAATCAAAAGGTAATCATTTGTGCAAGATGACGTTAATTCAAAAACTTAATCTTCATTTGGAATATTTCACATCCACGAGTGCGTCCATTCGGAATGACCTAGGAAGGCCTTTGAATAAGCCTTTTGAGTTAACACCGCCTTCCACTAAGTTACAGAGCTAATATTTGAATCGATTTTTCACGTGTTGTGTGGCGTTTTCAATAACGTGAGTCAAATCAGCGCACGTTATCTCCATCGCCCGCGCGACTCAGAAATCGTTCGCTCAGGTGGACGTGTTGAGACCCAGCTGGACCTGGGCTACGCCGCCCGACTCGTCTCAGCTCCAGTCCATCCCTCTGCAGCGGCGGAAGCGGCAGCGACCCCCCCCCCCACCCCCCCCCGTAGCTCTGCTCTGTCTCTGCTGTGCCTGTCTTCTCGCCCTCACCACTGTGGAGTGCATCTTCCCCCCACGCGCCTGCCACCACGTGCCTCGCGCACATCCTCTCTCGCACGACAACCCTTGGCTCGGCGCTACCCAGCATGCATTGCATGTTGCCAAATACGCTTGGCTTCTCTGTTGTGGGAATTTCTACTAGGTTGCTCAAAAAACGCAAGCAGTATTGGGATGGCCTCTCTCGTGACGAATCAAACTAATTTTAAAATGTTAAAAACTAAGGGTATCTAATTAGAAAAGATAAGTGTCTCAATAAGCCAACATGGCGCCAATTATTGCTTCTTTATGAACAAAAAAAACTGATTTGAATGAAAGGTCAATCTGAAAATTTACTATGATTAATTAAATATTATTTTAATATACCTTTTTTTATAAAATACCACACCAGTAGTTCAATTAAATGCTCCCACCGATAACAGTTTAACATTATATTTTTTTACAATTAATACTCTTTTAAATAAAATTTATTTTTGAACGGCAGCTTTTAATACAGCAAAATTCAAACCCTTAGCTATAATATACAAATGCAAATACAAAAGTATATTTTTGATGTTCTTTCTGTTAGTAATTTCACTCTCTGTGATAACAACTCTATTTTCCTAACTCTTCTCAACATTTTCAAAAAAATATGTTTTTTATTTCCAAACTACAGGTTTTTTGCTTTTCTTCTAGTAGATTCCCCAGTAATTGTTTTCAATCTTGCTATCATATTAATAGTAGTCTCCTAGAAATCAAGAAAACTTGCATAATTACTTCAATAAACACTTTGCAAAAACATTGCCATTATCTTTGCAATAGTATTGCCATTATCTTATATTAGTTGTAGTAAGGCAATAATATCGCGCGGCGATCAAAAGCTCTCATTTTCTAAGAGTTTTGTGCGCATTATCAACATATTAACATTCACTCTAGAGTATAGTGTTACGAGGTGTAATAATACACACCTTAGCTACTATTTTCTGGAGACTATTTTTTTAATTGTTGGAGATCACCAATTTTATCTCGGCTCATGCAGATCTCCTATTAATACTACTTGAATTGTTAGCATCATTTTTGTTACCTATAAGTTGACGAATTGATTATAGGAAACCATAAATGTCACCCGGAATCTGTAACAAATGTTTTTTATAACTATTTCTTTTTTAAAATTTTTACAACCTAATATATTATGTTGTCAACTTAGTTTACGGCTGGTTGGAAAAGATATGAAAACTATAATGACAATAAAAGATATATATGATTACAATTTCAAGATATTTCTTTAGAATTGTGATTTTTTACTCGCGGCCCACCTAGGCCATGCATAGTTGCATTGCACAAATTATTTCCGGCATTGTGCCAACCATTGTCCGGTGAGAATAACAATTTAAAAAAAAAAAAAACTGATCAGATGAATCCACAACCACAGACAAACCGCACTTGCACTCCCGAATTTAAAATATTTTGGCCCGTGTTAAGGATAGTATGTACATCAAATAGGCCAGTTGATTAAAATCATATTGTAATATTATAACACCGTTCTATTTAACTTACATTGGTTCGGTTTCGTCTTATATGAAATTTTAAAAACAGTAAAACATAGTGGTTGAAGCACGACATATACTCATCATGCGTCTAAGGCTTAATAATTGTTTCTAATGGTTATTAAGAAATGGGTCAAAATGGAAAATAGCTCAATAGGTGAACAATATTAGTTACATATCTACATATTTGTGCGCGGAATTGACTGTACCTTGTGAGGTACGATACAAGAATTGCGAGAAAATAAATCAAGCATAAATGGAGCGATACACCAAAACCCCCCTTTGTTATTTTTATTTTAAATGTTAAATTTAAGTACTTTTGATACATGCATGCACAGAGCATAATATAAGCATACTTCTCCACACTGAGGTCTCTTATCAAATGTACACTACCTTGGATATTGACTGCTATTAATATCATACATTTATTAGAACTGCAATTTGGGTAATGACCCATATTTTGGTGAGGATGGACAGTATTGCGGCACAATAATTATTCTGCATAAAATTACAACACTTACATATAACAAGTGAATAATAATCATAACAAATAATAAATAAATAATAAACTATAATATCAATTGCAAAAATAATAATTAATACACGATACAAAAACAGCTTATTAATAACACACGAACAAAAAGCAAATAGCAATTGAACTAATAGCATTGATCACGTTGTCAAGCCTCGACTCACTTTATCTACGATTCATCTACATTATTCTTATTTTTTTTTTTTTTTTTGCTTTGCAAATTGACCTTTGAAATTACACAAACTGACTCAGGCACTTCACAGCAAGCTGTACAACAACGCTACTACATCACGGCAGATTACTTATTTAATATATTTTTCTAATTTGCTTTTTCTAAACTTCGGGACAGAGAGGAAAAGTTGAAAACTGCCGCTCAGGTAATACGTAATGTTCCAGATCCTAATTGTTCTGTTACAAAGGAAATCAATTTACCCCAAATAGTTCTTCTTGTAATTTTCTTTTCCAATTTCTCGGAATTTTATGTGCGGGTTAGTGATATCACGCTTTCAGTCCGACAATAATTTTTCGTTTTTTAATCTAATTCTTAATCTAAATTCTCCTTTCTAGCTGGTTGACCCGAACTGTACGATTTTATTACAGTGTAGCGCAATATATGCCTCCCTCTTTGTTATCACCATATACAATCACTAGAATATCTAGCTGAACTATCATCACTATCTAATAGAAAAGAAGGGTATATTAGAATGTGTGTATACTTCTCCTGATTATCATGTATATTCGCAATAGTGTGAAATACACTTATCTGAGTCATTTTCGTGCCGAGAGTAAATATAAAACTTTTCTAATCTTTTTGTGACTTTACAATGGTATTAATTGTTCCTATACAACTTCACAACTAGCATTATTTATTTTATAGGATATTAGGTCAAGTACCAAAAGGTAGCAATTCTATACTTGCTTTTAAAACAATTATATATATTTGTGAATATGTGTCAATTAACCAAGTTTATCACCTTTTAAAATTGTGCAAACATCAGCGAATATAGTCATAGAATGAACAGCCAAGTTAAGTTTGTGCACGGATCAGTAATGAAACCTGAGTGTTGCTTTTTCATCTTGCGCAAGACTATCTAGTAATAAATATCGACTAATGTGCAAAATTCGTTTCTCAGATGAGAGAAAACTCAGCCTCTAACTCTAGTTGTACTATAATAGGTTGAATCATTTGTTGTTACCTCACATTCGGGAGTAACTCGACAGGGGCTGCGTAAGACGACCACGTCGCACCACCTTTGCTTTCCAAAAGGAACTCTGATCCTGATGCACTCCCTTACAGCAATTTTTAACCCCGAATTGTTAAGTACCTTGCGAGTAAGTAGTAAAAGTAATACCTCTACTCCTCAATACTATCCCAAGCGCTAACACACAAAGACTAACATAAAATCATTTGCACAGCATGAGAAGATCCAAATTCTGTAAGAGTTTAACAATATAATCATTTCAGGTCTAGTGTCTATGTATAGTCTACAACAGAAAGACAAAAATTATATAGAGCGAAATACTACAAGATCACCTTGTGTAATGTAGTGCGTCATACCACTCGAGTATATAATCATCTGTCTCTAACCTTTTTAAACCCATATAGCCCTATGTACCAATAATCATCAAGATACCTCAATATTGGTGTTAATCTGAGCCAGCATCCAATTGAACACAAAGTAGAAGAGACACCCTGACGTGGGTCCAGACTACGAGCATATATCAGAATTGAGCCTATGGGCCTGTCACACTCACACCACTCTCCTCATACTTCTATCTCACATAATTCTCTCAATCCTACGAACTCACTAGCTAACGAAGAATATATACTCTAGGTCTGCTATACACAGATATTAAGAGCAGAGCTACGATTACAGTGGAGATAAGATATGCCATAGTCACAATAAATCCATAGATTACGTGAACTAGACAAATACTCACCACTTAATTAAGATACTATCTGAAAGTTACCTACAAGTAAAATACAAATATAAATCAAATGCTAGCGATATATATTGTGCAAATCTTTTTAAAAATTTGTCCACTTTACCCTACCAGGGCCGAATACTGTTAGTCCACTTATAATGATATATGATAATATCTAAGAGAACAACAATTTATGTGTTAAGCACGAGTGTAGAGAGAGATTCACATTCTATAT